CTTCTTATATATTCACATGCCTGATGTTTTCTAGTAATGTTCTAATGCCATTTTTAACTTTTTCTCTTATTATTTTATTTGTCTCTTATTGATACTTTATACTTTTAAATTACTGTATTTATTTAAAATTTATTTAAATTTAAAATTTAAAATTGATATAATTTAAGCACAATATAATATTTAACAAGGTAATAAAATGGATTCATAATGATTATCTTATAAAATTTAAAGAAAGAGGCTACGATATAAGAAAACAGTATATATTCTATAAGAGAAAGGCAGGGCTAACTCTTGCTCAAGGCCTGTTTCTAGGCCATTAGGCATCTTTCTATAAATTAGAAAAAAATGGTTCTTTTTCTGGATGGATGCAGCTCTGCAACTAGAAATATATGTATATATATATATAGATAGATAGATAGATAGATAGATAGATAGATTTCTAGTTGCAGAGCTGCATCTAGAAATATATATATATATAATTGTATTTTAGGTTCTGCGGTATATGTGCAGAACATGCAGGGTTGTTGCGTAGGTACATACATGGCAATGTGGTTTGCTGCCTCCATCTCCCTGTCACCTATATAGAAATCTTAATAGATAGACAGTGCTCTGTGTGAAGGAAAATGGTACTGGATGCATGACTTGAAGTACAGGACACAAGCTGGATTTCATCTCCTTTATTCCTCTTGGGCAAGAACCTCTGTGTAATGCAAAATGCATATATGTATATGATCATAATGCTTGTAGCATTCCTTCTACCCGCTCTATAGCACAACATTAATTTAATTTAGAAGTAAAAGCCAGAAATAAGGTCACAGAATTACTTCAACTGCAAAATACATTAGTTTGTCAGGCCAAAATTTCTACCCATATCCAACCATACATACTCATTCCTGCAACTTACCTTTGCAAATGCAAAATAACTCTATGCTTATTTAGATGGCAACCCCTCTGAACTGAGACAACAATCTCTTTATATCTCATTTACTAAATGTCTTTTAAAATATGTAAAAGCACTTGAGCTTTCTGTAAAGACCTTAGCACAAAATGAAATAGATCGTAGAATGTGTTCAAGAACTTACTTCTCATTATCAGCCAAAATTTAGTCTATGAAAGCCAAAAACATATTTGAATTTTCTTAGTGTGACTCTCAGAGAAATAACACGAGTGTGACATAATGGGTACTAGAATCATATTTCCAACAATTTAATAAATGTCCTATTCTCCTGGGTACTTCCTTTTAAACAAACAAAAAGTATGTAATTCACATCCATCCAAACAAATTAAGAAAACAGATTCCTCTGGACGTTGCCTCATTTTGTTCTACAAATCTCTTCCAAATATCAAAACCTCTTATGACAGATGGGTACCCTCTTATTTTACATCCTATTACTCATGGAATTCTATAACCCTCCTAATAGATGTAATACATTCCTCTCAAATTGCTTGCATTTCCTCCAACTTTTGATGTCATCTCAATATATTCTTTCCTTAACTGTTCTAAGAATTTGCTGTAGCATTTGTAATTTCTCCATTGAATACTTCAAAATGCCCTCTCCTGTAGCTGCCTGCCAGGATGTAAATATCAGTTCAGTAATATTTATAAAGAACATATAATGTAGTGGCCTTACGCCAAAGTGTCTTTCATATTTAACAATGCAGACAACAACAGCAACATCATCAAGAATGAGTATTATAGTTTATTCTTAATCCTAAGTAATGTCCCACTTCTTTTGATCATGCCTGAAGTATAGAAAAAAAAATATGACTCTCAAACTCCAATTCTTTTCTGCTCGCAGTGCTACATATATAACCCACCTAACTTTCCAAAGTTTATATCCAAAGCTCACCTTTCATTCTTTATTTGGTGTCATCACTTAGAATTTTGATAATAAAATTCTCTTTTGAAATGTTCTTTCTTTGTTGCCATGACACCAGTCTCTTTCTGAGTCTCCTTTATATGATGAAACTTTACTACGCATGATTCAACAGACTAATTTTCCTTTATTTACACTTAAATCATTTTTGCACTAGGTTCTTTCTTAATCCTCTTCCCTCTTCATATTCTGAGTTCTCTTCTTGTGCACTCCAAAAAGAATGTCAATAATCACTAGCACAGGGAAAACACTGTTTTCTTTCTTTGCACATTTCAAAAAGAGTAAGAACCATCAGGTATAATATAGTAATTTTGCATTTATTAATATTTGAAGTGTTTAATGTGAATTATTTAAAATGATTATACCCATCAGTATGTCTTCAGGGTTATCTATAGAAATGCTACTAACCATGAAGGTTTTATACAAGGATACAATTCTCTAATTTTAATGAGTTCCTGTCTTTCCTAACAGTTGTATCGGCAGTGATTGTTTTTATTTTATTTCCTATATTAAATATAGATTGTGCATGTCAAAAAAGACATACCTAGTATCTCAAATATTGGCCACTCACCCTTAGGCACTCATTTAGTTTCTGCTTCTGCAGATTACTGAATTGCCTAATTACCTACAAAGCGCTATGTCAAGAATTCATTTCTGTTAAATGCTGATAATGTCTGAGTAGCAAAAAGCGTTTTTCTACAAGACATTTTTGTAGAATCAAAATGCCCTGTATGCGTCATTTTATAACAAATAAATGAAAAAAAACTAAACATCTTAAAGCTCCTAGTGATAGTGTGAGTTCCTCTGTCCACAGTGGCCTTAATCATGACATCACAGATTAATAATCACCAAAGCCAGATATAAATTGTAATTGAGGAAATAAAGACAGCTGTTTCATGAATATAGGAACATAAAAGTTGGGCATTTATGTTCCTCTATCTAATGATAAAAACGTCATTGGGATGACATTCTTTTGGATTAAAAAAATTATAAAATTTTTATCTTTGCTTTAGAGAATGTAGAGAAAACATTGTTTTCTGAAAACAATTCTGTGAAAACATTGACATTAACAACAAACACACCTGCTTGGAAAAGAGGATAACATGTTGGTCAATGTTAAATTATATTTACTTTGATATGCCTCTGCAGGTTAAATCGATACTTGAATGAAGCTTGAAGTTCGCATTTATTATGGAGGGCACTTGTAAAAATGTATTTGAAGCCTGTAAGAGCCAGAAGGACTCAGTCACATGCAGCCTTCTGTGCCTGATGTTTTCTTTTGAACTAGAGAGAGAAGTGAGCATACAGTCTTTTATTGTAGCTTGTTCACAAAGACTCAAATAAGAAAGATGTGGGTGTCTGTAGGAGAAAAGGTTTAGAAAACCAGGCATATTTTCTATGACTGTTAAGAACTTGTATTATTGGAATTCCATATGTCTAAATGCAATTGAAGGAAATTAACATCTCTATGTATAATCAAATTAACTGAAACATAATTGAACAAAGCAGGAAATAAAAATCAAATAATTAAGAAATAATGCTTTTTTTCTGATGAAGTCATAATAATGTTCTCTCATTTTTAAATTAAGAAAGTAGTAACTTCAATATAAAGCATCTATACCAGTGATCTCAGGCACTTCATTACCTGATAAAATACCTTATAGTATAAAACTATTGAGATCTACAAATACACAATCAGTTAAATCTGCCTCCTTATTTATTTTAAGCCAGTATTAAAATCATGCCATTAAAAAGAATAAAACATAATATTATAGGACATAATGTGATGTGATATGACATACATAATATAAAGTATTATAACATATCATATCTTACTCCACATTTTGGTTACTTGTAGAATGCTACTATTGAACAAGGGTTGAATTCTTTGGAAGAGAGTGATATGGCTTAGAAAGGGAGTTAAACTAAATGCAGTGATAATCTCAGGCATTCCAGGATGAGATATTGTATGATTACAAATACAGAATTTACGATGAGTCATTAAACACATATAAAATCATACATATTGCTGTGTTGATGCATATTGTTCTGAAATTTTTTGTACTTGATTTTTTTTTAAATCAAATGCACATAGTGTAACTTACATACACGAAGCCTCTTCTTCATGCTCATGGCATTCATTATGGAACTTTCTGCTTAACATAAACAGCTTCGTGTCCTTCTATAAAAAAACTACCTAGTGGAGTGAACACAGGACATCTAGTAACTAAGGCAGGACTGTATGTTTTGTGTCTACATAGAGACACAAATACACATAAAGGGAGGCAGAATTTTATTTTTAAAAAGTAGAGTATTTGGTATTATATAAATCTAAATATTAATTTTGCTCTACCAGTTACTAATTTTATGCTTTATTCATCTGTTATATTGGGATAATACTACTTGACTTATAAAATATTAATCAAAGTGCCTTGTGATAGGCATTTAACATTTTTAAATGCTTACATTAAGATAGTATTTTAGTTAAAGCTGTGTCTTTAAAATAGTTAAGCATCCTGTCATAGATTACTGATGTAAGTCAAGCATACTGTAAGATGTTTCTGGAGGGAATTCCAGGTGTATAAGACTGAGGATTCCATCTTTTAAATTTACTGCCCCCAACAAGAGCCATAGTAAAGAACACACCTATATTCTTCTGTTTTTTGGCAATTATTGCATTCGTGGCATGTATCTAAATATTTATTCAATAAGAAAAAGATCCATCTATTCTCAGAAAACATGTCAAATGGAGATACTGTTGCCCCTGATCTTGGATCTATATAGTCCTGCAAAGATATATCCCACTGCAATAAAAGGGGCTAGTGCATCAAAATTACTGCAAAAAATACTGCCTTTGCTGACACAGAATTATTGATCAAAATGTTGTGCACTTCACTAATATAGTTTTTGATGCTATACATCTGACTGGAAACAAATTTGACAATGTAGTTGTCAAATTAGACATGGAACATTAACTGCTCATTGTGATGAAGAAGGCAGGATTTCTTATGTGGAGCTACAAAAAGGCCTAGATGAAGTATAAGGGCAGAGTTATGGACTTTTCTTAATGGCAGTTTTATATTGGTTCTGACAAAAATGAAAGAAAGCACAAAAATCTCCCTTTGGAAAACACAGATGCTGCTATCATCATACCAGCTTTTCTTTTTTTTTTTTTTTTTTTTTTTTAATAACCTCTAGCTTGACTTCCAAATACATTAAAACAATTGCTAGTGTTTATGTGCTCAGGGACATCAGTGAGCCAAATACCATTGACTTTGTTTATAGCCTGGTGCCAAAACAAATGTGTTATATTTGATATATCCATTCTCACTATTAAAGAAGTTATCTATCCAATCTACATCTGGGAACGTCTACATTAATGCAGGAAATTTTGATAAATGAAGCTCCTTCAACACAAAGTAAAAAGGAAGCGTACAGTGACATTAGTGAGAAAACTAGGGCTGTCAGTTTCCTCTACATTGTTTGCCAACTTGCTAAACTCAGCATTTCTTATAGCATCTGGGCCACAACTGATACTGAGCTCCTCTGTGAAGGGATTTACTTTGGTACCGTTAATCACTCTACCCTTATCCAATTCTATGTGCTTCTTCCACATCCCCTCAATATCTGGATAAACATAGACTTGTTTTGGTGACAATTTCACTGAACAAAGAGTATATTTAGTTTTCCTTCAGTTCTAAATATAGACTGCATGAAAATAAACTTCACATAGTGTAGAACTATAACTGAAACTCATTTTCTGTTTGAATTAGCCAGTTATTTTCTATGGATAGCAATTAAGAACACTGACAAATACTGCGCAAAATTTTACAACCAGATATCTGTGAGAAATTGTATATATTTTCTCTACAAAGGTATACTACACCCCAAACCCAGATAAAGTGTCAGCATTTAATATGAATGCATATTAGAATCAACAAAAGTGAGTACACAATAGTAAGTACAATGATACTTCTCGAAGATTCATGTTGACCCTTTCCCTAATGGTGTGTGTGTGTGTGTATGTGTGTGTGTGTGTGTGTGTGTGTGTGTGTGTGTAGTGTGTAGTGTGTGGTGATTCAGCATATTCTTGCTAGAGCTGCCCTGTCATCCACTTACATGGTTTTGGTTTTCCAGCACTAACTTTGTAAGAGTTTCTTTTCATTCATTCATTCTTTCTTTCCATTTTTTTTTTCAATTTTGGGGAATTTGTTGACATAAAATCTTAAATAAGCCTAGTCCCTAAATATTATTAATTTCCTAACATTCACTGGTAGGGTTAGTAAATATAAAAGTCAGATTTTTCTGAATATTTATTATAATTTGTTTGACTACAATGTATCCAACATATTTTACTATAATATGGGAAAAAATGAAAATTATTATGTGTGAAATTAGAATCTGCTTTTTCCCCAAATTTATTGATAATGCTTTTCTGAACCCCTTCAAATATAATTAAGTTTTAAAGATATACCTCCACGTAATACATATTCCTGAATATAGTGGGATATACCCAAAAACAAGTCTTTGCAAGAAGGCCTGAGCTTTAGAAATTTTCAAAGGCACCTTTAAATTATAAAAAACTCATTGCATAAATCAATGTGTTTACCCACTTTCCCACTCTAAGAGTATCTGCTAATCTGAAACTGAGCTAACTTCCTACTAAGCAATCTCAGGCATTGTGTATACAACAGAATTTAAATAAAGCAATCTTTTGCAATAATCTGCACACATATTAATTTTCTCTGATTTTATCTGTCCTATAACAATACTCAATTAACATGGGGTTGGTACTTTGAGATAATACTATTAAGTAGCAATTCTTTAATGAGATCCTTCAAATAATTGACTTTCCTTGACAAAAATAATTACTGTAAAACACTGCCCAATCATTCTGGCACCTTGAAAATATTAGATGTAACTGCCACTCTAGCATAGATTATATCACATCTCAATAATGAAGGATATAAAAATCGCTCTCAGCTAAAATTTTGTAGGCGTTGCAGAATTATAAGAGCTAAAGCTGTTTAAATTAGCCCCTTTGTCTTTTAATCAGTGTAAGAGAGAAATTGACTCATACTGCCTTGCAGCCTCTAGCTCCTGGTTTCCCAGCATGTACTAAACGTGTAGCTCAATTTAAAGTAGTTATCAGTCACTGGCTGATACCACAAAATCATGAACCAAACTTTTAAGTGGAAGGAGCTAGTCCTTTTAATTCTGGCAACTTTTGATAGGCTAGTAGTGTTGAATAATATTCAATAGTAGTGTAGTGTTAAGAAATGTTCTCATCTCAAAAACTACTCCTCATAATTCCAAGTTTAACACTACAATGAATAGATTGGCCTCTTCTTAAAATTTACATAATCGTAGTCCTATCAGTATACAATGAAACATTACTAGAAATGTATCATTTTCTTTAAGAGCTTCGTAAAGTGATTTGATAAATTGATTATGAGGGTTCTTATACCCTAGTTGCTTGGGTATAACTTAAGTCCTTAGCAACTCCACAAGCTTAGTATAATTTTACTTCTTCAAAACTCGATTAGAATTTGAAACTCTGGATCTGCAGAGAATGTCCTATTTGTATTTGTTCCCCTTTCCTAATACTACTTCATTCTCTCTACATGGTTCTATTTTTAAATTTGTCATTCTATACTAATATTTCTATCTATTCTATTCTATTAGAATAGAACAAAACAACAACTAAATGAAACAAAAAAAAACTTGCCAAATATCCTTAAAAGCTCAGCAATTTACACGACTCTTCCTTTGGTTTATAAATTATATAGCACCAGCAATCTTCTGTGAATTTCCTACTGGCAGATTCTGCTCCCACTGAGAAGAAACAGCAATTTTATGACCCAAGGTTCTACTAGACTAAATAAATAAATAAGCAAACATCTCTTAAGTTGCAGTTTTCTCTTTTTCTCAAACAGTAAAATACATTTATTGCTACTAAGTTACTTTTCAGGGGGGCACCTTTTTCAGTGATTTATACACAGAACTGGTTTGCATCTCTTACTACATAATCTTGAGCTTATTCCAAACAAACAAAAAAACCCTTCACTCCTTCTACCAAGGTCTCACTGAAACATGGTGTGCTAATTGTTTTTCTCCATTTATAAGTTTTATTTGGGGGTTGCAAGCTGTTGGTAAGGAAAAAGACTAAGGAAAATTAGTAGGAAGTTGTATCATGTTGGTACTGGTGAGGGCAATATCCATGATTGCAGTAAATTTTACTGGAATGGAAATCCAAGGGCTTGGCTTTGTTTGTGGGTGTCTTATATAGCAGTATTTTATGCTTATGGAAAAGTAAAATTAGCCAACAACTAAAGTTCAGGTATTTCTTTTCAGATGGGTGAAGTTTTCCATTTCCTTTGACTGTATCTAGATTATTTATTTTATAGTTTTTTGTTTCTGTCCTGCTGCTTGCAAGACTCAAGACAAATTTTTTCAAACATATTTTCTTTGTCTATAGAAAGAACATTACATTTTAGTTTACACAAAAAATCAGTACTACGAAGTTTAAAAACAATAACAAAGTGAATATAGGCACTTTTCTCAATGGAAGATACAAACATTGCAATCCTTGGTTTCTGTCCAAACTAAGTATGAGGTTATTAACCAACTAACAGAGTTCTTAAGTGAGATGAGGCTGTCAGGCAGTCGTAGATGTATAGAAACATAATTATTAGCAGTTTTTAATTACAACATTTTGTTTCCTCCAAAAGAGCTATTTTATTTTATTGCACATGTGCTACTTTAAGCTATTTCCATTCCTTGTAAAAGTAAGTCAAGGATCGATTTTTTTTTTCTGAGACTGAACTCTCAGCACAATTCCCTGTGCAGAAAAAAAAAGAAGTACAACCATAGGCTTAGTGTTATTAAGAAACAAAAGAGGAGGAGCAACAGATAGCTGACTAGATGCAGCCACAAAACATCCCTCCCACCAAAAAACCCACAAAAATATTGAGTAATCAATCTGTCACCCTTAAAAGAGATTTTTTAAAGAGAAAATACTGAAAGTCAACAGAAAAGTGACACAGACACTGCAGTTGAGGACAGATGAAGCTTAGAAGCCCGCATGGAGTTGCTGAATGCCAGGACGCCTGAACAGATTCCAAGAAAGGGTTGAGTGAAAGAACTCCCGGGCACCACGCTACTGCTGTGGGGTATCCCAACTACAAGAGATCCCATTACCCCCATAAAAATTTGTATTGACAAGGGGAACTGCCTAGAGAGTAGGGAGAGGCAGCTCAAACCTTCACAGAGTCCAGAAGGTTTTGCTCATGGGACTGCTAAAGCCAGACCATAGATGCCTGTCTTTCAAAGCTCTCCATCTTGCTCTGAATGACTCTAGTCCCTGCTGAGCTGTGCTGGGAGATACCAGGGCTGCCTTTCCTACAAGACTGCTCTGATTTATTTGCCCCCTTGTCTGCCAGCCCATCCCAAAGTCCGCGACTGGCTGCTCCCACAAGAATGGGCACACAGCACAGCCTTCACTGCCCCACCTGTGTTCTGCCAGTGGCCTGGGAGCAATTTGGTCCCCCTAGCACAGCCAGTACTCAACCCCAGGGGATGAGAGGACACAGCCATGGGCCTGTTCTAAACCCCTCAGCCTTCAAGCACACTGCCAGGATTATTGAACTGAAATACGTGGCCTGAGCTTGAGGTGCCTCACACTCAGAACTCTGAGAAGAGTTAGGCCTGGGTTCGTGTACTGGGGCACTAGAATTAGGCATCTCTCCCCCTACAACCCAAGTCCAGAAAGGGTGTAGCTTGTTGGCCAGCCACACATTCTGTCTAAGAGAGCTCTGAAGCTCAGAGTACCTGGAACAGCCCAGCCCTCTGAGCACAGAAGTCTTGAGATAAAATTAGATTTTGACACCTGCTCCTGGGAAAGACACTGATAGGAAATCCGGTCAGGAGAGCACAAGTTGGGTGGTCCCCACAGCCACCTGCTGGGCAAAACACCCCAGGCCATTGGTGCTGCACCAGCTTTATGCCTCCAGCATGCTGCCCTGCCTGGGGATCCTCCTCCCTTGACCCACTGTATCACTAGACCACGCACAGAAATACCACACAACATTCTTTGACTTTACCAAGCTCAGAGAACTAGCAGATCCCTGGAAAGTTGC